TAAAATAAGAGCAGCATTATAATGGACTGATTTCCATACTCCTTAAAACCGCGAAATAATAAATATGTATCACAAGCAGGGTATGGAACGCCAAATAAATAACCGGTTTATTCAAATATTTGTATTAAATCAATTGTACCTATTTCAATTGTATCTATCTTAAAATATATTAAAGATATGTTTCATTCAATTATACCTATCTTTAAAATTGATTTGAAGATAGGTATAATTGATTTAAATTTAGGTACAAACCTTCTCCCATTTAGGTACAAATGTCAAGAATTAAAATAGGTTTAATTGATTTAAAGATAGGTGCAACTGAATTGAACCCATCTTTGATTATTAAGATATTGACAAAAACAACTCTCTCAAAAATACTCAGTACAACTCTCTCCGTGTTCAAGTCGCTGTACCTATCTCTGAAGTTAAATATAATTAAATTGAACCTATCTTCAATTGAAGATATGTATAATTCCATAAAAGATAGGTGTAATTTATTTGAACCTAGGTTTAATCATTTAGAGATTTGAATAATTATTTACATTGTACACCTATCTTTAATTTATTTAGACATTTCTTTAATTCACTTGTACCTATCGTTAATTCATCTGAAAGTACGTTAAATTATTTAAAGATACGTATGTACAATTATTTGAAGATAGGTTCAAATATTTGAATAGATGTTAATCTGGCGTTCCATACACAAGTGTTATAAAAATCATTGGGGGCAGATAATACAAACTTTTATCAATGATTTTTATAGAAAAGTAAGTATAAAAAAAGATTTTTTACTAAATTTTCACAATAATGTGTTGTAAACATCATAAAAAGTTTAAAAATTTATTTTTTCTACATCATTTATAATCAAATTGTCGCCAACTCCATATGACGTGGCGCAGAGGTAGAGCGTCAAAATTCAGAAATTGTACAGCAACAACCTGTCCTTATATAATCTCTAATAAAGTACATTATTATAATCTAAACCCAAAAACATTAACTGATCACAGAACTTGTCGATAACTTTTGCATAGCATGTAGCTATTCCACCTAAAAATTAAAAATGAGTTTTTTTTTATTCTAAGGCACAATAATATTGTTTGTATGTGTGTAATGTAGTTATAAATAAAGAGATTTTCATTGGTTGCTTGCTAATTAATATGTAAATTAGATCCATACATAGATAAAATCACACTACTAATGTTACCAAAGAGGAATAACTCCAATAAATTTTAATAACAGTTTGAAGGTAACTTTGTAAGACATACCTTATAGTCTGTTTCAAAATGTGCTATAACTGTGATCCAATTTAGTTCCTGTGTCTAAAATAGAAATTTTTTTATATTTAAGTACATGTATAAATGAACAGATTTTTTTTCTAAATCAAATCATGTTTTTTTAAATCATATTATAATATTTTTAAAACTGACTTTTGAAAAATAAATTTCCTTCTCTGATGTCTGTATTAATTTCTCTTTCTGTTAAGTCAAATATGCTACTGTCTGTCTTCTCAGTATCATTCCAGTTCAGAACTTAAAATTAAAAAAAATATATAGATATAAGTATACATATTTATACTCCCTTGAATGAAAATATAGTAACCCTGAATGATGCAATCATAATAATAGCTGAAACTCATTTATGTCTTATTCCTGATGTTTTATTTTGCTTTGAAATAAAATTCCATTTACATAATTACATTATGTATTATACACAGTATTTACAGATGATGTGGCATCATATTTTTTCAGTTTAAAATCTAACTGACCCATTAATCTTTCAATTGTAATATTGTTTGTTGAACAGGATGAACATTCTTTAAAAAACTCTGTTGAACATGTATTAAAATATTTTTCTCCATCTAAAAAAGCTGCAAACAACTTCTTTGCCTTGTCAATTAAAACACTGATGCACCTCTTATTAAAAACACATGTAAGATCATCATTTAACGACATAGAGCATAAAAAATCTGACACAGGATCATAAAAATCTGGACCTTCAAACAGTTTGATTTCCCCCTTCAACAATGCAGAATGTTTTCATGACTTACATTTAAAACATTTAAAAGTCTCTGATATTACAGTGTGCATATTTGTAATACTCCATAATTCTGAAGTTTTCTTCCGGCTCTGTTATAAATTTACAAATAAAACCAAAAGCTCTTAAAATTGTTTAAAATAATTTGCTTTGCAATGGTGAAACAACTGCATTCAAAACAACATAAAAAGAACTCCTTGAGGATAACAGATATTGTAAAAGAAGTTGATGCATAAAAAATGTACCAGCACCATTATAAAAACACAAATTAAAACGATTTCCTCTTACGTTCATCAGTGGGAGTTTGTCTTGTAATGTTTTTAATACTAATTAAAAGCTCTTCTTTCACATAATTTCTTGATAAAACACCCATTTCACTTGATAAAACTGCTGTTGTACTTTTACTTGGTAATTTTTTTACATTAATGTCAAAAATATTTAAAACAGCTTCAACAACAGGAGAAATATGCTGCACACCGATATTATTACTGATAAAAAAATTATAGTATAATTTTCTTAACTTAAAATTGTAAGGTCTGCCGTTTGAATTATCTCTAAAATCTAATAAGGCCTCAGAAGTTGATGAAGATGCAGAAGAAGTCGATGTGGGCACAGAAGAAGTCGATGCGGACGCAGAAGAAGTCGATGAGGACACAGAACAAGTCGATATAGGCACAGAACAAGTCGATGAGGACACAGAAGAACTCGATGTGGATTGAATATTTTTTTACTCACTGGTAATGTGAATAATTTGTTTCGGTATATGTCACACTTTTCTTTATTATTGTATTTTTTCAATCTTTGTAGTTCTTTGAATGTTTTTTGAACTTTCAAGTATAAACTGGACTTTATTATTGAAGCTGAATCCAACTGAAGGCAGTCACATATAGCTTTGCATGTATTGGCAACATTGCCTTCGTTTTTAATGAAAATTTCACTCGCATTCTCATTTGTTAGAGACATGGTGCTTATGAATGTGCAGTTAATTTGAATTTTACCATATATATGCTGTATGAAGTGAACATGAAAATACATTGATAAGACTTACAAATACATTTGCAACAACACAAAAAGCATGACGACACAAACACAACAAGATGCCCATGGGCCACATCGCTCACCTGAGTAACTTGGGTGAAGCAGTTCTTTTTTCAGATTTCCCCTCTTGCTATACCTATCGTGCCCCCCTACCCCCTCCCCTTACATGATTTTAATACTTTAGAATCTACACTACCCGAGGATGCTTCCACATAAGTTTCAGCTTTCCTGGCCCAGTGGTTCTTGAGAAGAAGATTTTTAAAGATTTGTTCTATACATTTCTATGTAAAACTTGGATTCCCTATTGTGGCCCCGCCCTACGCCCGGGGGTCATGATTTTAACAATTTAACATTTACACTACCAAAGAAAGCTTCCACCTAAGTTTCAGCTTTCGTGGCCCAGTGGTTCTTGAGAAGAAGATTTTTTAATGAGCCCACCCTATTTTTGTCTTTTGTTGATTATCTCCCCTTGGAAGGGGACTTGACCCCTCATTTTAACAATTTAAACTCCCCCTCACCCAAGGATGCTTTGTACCAAGTTTGGTTAAATTTGGTCTATTGGTTCTTGAGAAGAAGTCGAAAATGTGAAAAGTTAACAGACGGACGACGGACAAATGTGATCAGAAAAGCTCACTTGAGCCTTCGGCTCAGGTGAGCTAAAAAGCACACATAGAAATTTATTCTCTTTAGAGAAGTGGACATGCTTCGCCTACTTCCTTTTCTCTTCATTTATTGATTCTGGAAAACATGAAGGCTTGTGAAGAGAAGTGGATGTAGGGGAAAACCTGTTAACTGTCACTTTCATATATGCATGTGAACCTTTATAAAGTACATAAAATTAATTTTCAAGGTATTAATTAATTTTATCATAAACCAGAAACATTTAAAAAAAAAAGACTATCATGGAAGGGAAGTAATAATATACTGAACGATCATTACGGTTAACGTTTTTTTTATTCTGACGAAAAAAGTGCTACAAGTTTGCGCCTTTTTTAATATGCTAGTATTAAAATAATCATTTATGTATAATTTATCGCTCAATTGTGGTATGTAGTTGCGGTGATTTTTTTTATGTTGAGCGATAAATTATACATAAATGATTATTTTAATACTAGCATATTAAAAAAGGCGCAAACTTGTAGCACTTTTTTGGTCAGAATAAAACACTTCTTTCAAATTGCACGTGAAGTCTTAAAAATACCTGTATCAACTTAATTGTAAACAACTGCCTATGCAGTTTTTGTCGTAAAAAAATTATTTAAGATCGAGGTGACAAGGTTGTAATTATCACTTACAGATAAATTATCACATACCCGTCTGCATCAATCCACAATCTCATCCAATATGGCCGTCAGGTAGTCAGCGGGAGTTGTCGTCCTTAGTGTAAAATGGCGTCAACTGGAATAGCTATATAGCATGTCATAAATAGTAACGTGTACATGTACGGTGAAGTGTTTCGGCCAAGTTAAACAATGTGAAAGAGGTGTAGTCTACCGGTGGAATACATTTCTTTATTTGTATTGAAATTGCTCGTTTGTTATCCCCAAATGAAGATTAATTTATTCATAAAAAGTCACAAATCAACAAAAGAAAGATAAGACATAAAGTTTGTTTGTTTGTTTTTAATCTTGTGCGCCCTCTTAGGGTTTCAAACACTAACATGATTCTTTACCAGACCCTGCACATCGAAGATTGACGGAGACAACCGAGTGTCTAGTTGAGCGAGACAAACATTTTTGCTTTTTTATGTTAATAAAAGTGAAGGGGTATGTCAATATCGCTTTGTGCGTCTGACGTACTCTGACTCCCGCGATTACTTCCGTATATTAAGGAAGGAAATGAACCCTTTGGATTTATGTAATAAAAATAAACGGTTGAATAGAAAAATGAAAAAAAAATTAGGAAATGAATTTCAAATTCCCATGTTCATAAAGCGGAAAAGAAGTATTTAGAGGAAGTAAAATGCTAAACCTGAGAGCTGTGTAATATGATGCAAATACGTGTGGTCCAGTCATGTCAACTTCAGGATTTTCTACCGCAGCAATGACGAACTCTGAATGTACTGCCATGGACTTAACAACACCAATTTATACCACAATCGCCCAGAACAATATAAAGGTCGTGCATTTACCCAGCTCGGTGCTTATTTGTACCTACGTAAGTTGTTCTCTGTCGATCTTAGGAGCAATTATTATATTTGTGACGTATTGTACAGTTCAAGAAGCAAAGAATCAGACCCGTCGTCTGCTCATCTATTTGACGATTGCTGACTTTCTGACGTCATCAGGAAACCTACTCGGAGCCTTACGGTATTCTTACAACGACAAGCACCACCGACTCCACAATGTCACAGACAGAGAACTCAGACGGCATTGTGAACATCCGGACGACCTCTGCGCCATACAGAGTATGGTTACCACATTCTCTTCACTAGCCTCGTTTTCGTGGACCATTATCATTGGGTTACATATTCTTCTAACTCTTGTTTATCAGACAAGATGGTGCTTCACTACCATCGCAAAGGTGTTGGCCCATTCCGCTTCCTGGGGTATACCACGTAAGTTGAAAAATAATGATTTAAAATATTATTAAAATCTTTCTGATTCTTCATTTTATCCATAAAACTTGTATTTCATAAGCTTTTTACACTCGTTAACTTACTTATCAATTCAATTAAAAATCGAGTTGCTTTTGGAAAATGTTCACCAGCAAGTTACTTTTAAACTTTTCCTGTAAGTTCAACATCGGGTTTTGTCTGATGATTATGACTAGGATGAGGAAGTTATTTAGTGGACTTATAACTCATGAAAACGTTATCTATAAATCAACTTTAATGTATTTGTTTCAAAGTAATGGAGAACGATCCATCTTATTTTTTCATCTTCATTGAAAGTGGGGCATCAGTCCTTCAGTCCATCTCTAGCATACTTTCGTTTCCGCGCGATATCCCGAGATGCCTTTGGGCTTTTGCGATGAAATTTTACATATTCAGTTCGGGATCCATAAAGCACACGCTTGCCTATGTGAGGTCTATATTATTTAAAACAAAATTCGCTGAAAAATCTATGAAAATACATGTATGCATAAAAATGAGAAAATTCGGAAATTAACAATGCGAATTAAGTTTCTGACCTCTATATATCCCATAACTTAGAACCAATACTCATTTTGTGGCAGAATTGACAAGAGATTTTTAATAAAAAACTATTGCATCATTTTAATGGACACCCGAACCAGGGGTCAAAAAGGATTCTTAGCCTCTCAATGTCTCGGATCCGTACTATGGTCTAAGGAAAATTTCTATTGATTTTGAGGTCAAATTGTCAAAGTTCAAGGTCATAAATTCTGTCTTATTGTTAAACTTTCTTATCCGAGCGAAATCTCTAAAATAGTTCAATATTGATTGCATTTACAACGACAATTTGTTTCGTTTGTTGTTTTACGATCACTGATGATTTCATTTACATCGACCAATCGCTTGATAGTTTACGATACCCGAAATTTCAGTGGTGATTTATATTTACATTCATCAATCATTTGTTAAATTACAACATTCCTGGTGATTAAAGTTACATCGACCAATCATTTCATAATTTAAGACTCGGTATTTCAGTGGTGATTACATTTACATCGACTGATCATTTGGTAGTTTACAATACACAGTCACTGTGGTGATTACAATAACACCGACCAATCATTTGATCTCTTAATATATATATATATATATATATATATATATATATATATATATATATATATATATATATATAAAGCACTAAAATGACCAACGACACGAACAATAAAAATTGTCAAATTTTCGGGACGCCCTGTCCCTTCCTCAGGACAAAGAAAAAAGTTAAAAAGTCATAAAAACAAAGGAAAAAGAGAAACAAAAACAACTAGCACTACTACTAAACTACTAAACACTAGATATTTACATAATTACATGTTGAATTGGAAATATTAAGAACACAAATAATGAAAGAAATCCGGACCGCTGTGAAATGCGTCCGGTCTATCGGGTATACTCGGGTGAAGTGCGATTTACATAATTGAACGAATTAATTCTGCTAATTAATTACGATAATCAGCAAATCGTACATTGTTTCATTATCTCAAAATGGCTTAACTTTACTTAATAAAGAATAATCAAAGAAAAATAATATAGCAGAGATATTTAAACATATGAATTATGATCCATTATAAATTTTGAAATATTTAAAGATTTATTACCGGGAAAAAATTTTTTAACAAAAGCGTAAACAATAAATAGTTTTTTGATAATTGAACGAATTAATTATGCTAATCAATTAAGATAATCAGTAAATCGTACAGTGTTTCATTCTCTCAAAATGGCATAACTTTACTTAATAAAGAATAATCAAAGAAAAATAATATAGCAGGGATATTTAAACATATGAATTATGATCCATTATAAATTTAAGCATTTATTACCGGGAAAAAAAAAAATTTTTAACAAAAGCGTAAACAATAAATAGTTTTGTGGGTTGTCCGAAAGTTGGTGACGCAAATTAACAGTAGAGTTAACACTAAATTGAGAGAATAATCTTGTCTAGTATCATCAGGAATTGGGTCTAGTTTACGTTCATTCTGGTGAAGTCATTCAGTTTGTTAATGCCGTTAGGGCGGAATGACTTCAATCTGTGCATCCAGAACTTCTCTTTGCTTTTTCTCTGAGCATCTGTCCATCTTGGGTTATGGTCAATCACCACTACTGTCATGTCCTCCCATTTGTGACCCTCAAGGTTGAAATGTTCCCCAACGGGTTCATTGAGTTTTTTGGTCCTAATGGTCGAGCGGTGGTTATTGACTCTCCTGCGGAGATCTCCTGTTTCACCAATATACTGTTTGGAGCAAACTTTGCAACTGATGAGATAAATGCAGTTGTCAGTCTGACAGGACAAATTCCCTAGTATTTTGTAGCTGCGGCCTGTAACAGGGCTGCTAAAACTGTCTGTGTCAGTGCTGTGCTTACAAAGAAGACATCTTCTGTCAGAGCAAGTTTTAAATATATATTATATATATATATATATATATATATATATATATATATATATATATATATGGTGATTGCATTTTCATGGACCAATCATTTAGTATATTTTATTACAACATTTCAGTGGTGATTACATTAGTAGCAGCCTTTAAAAATGTCCTTGGGGAGGATCAGTACATTGGTAGCGGACCTTGGTGCTGGATAAAGGGTTGTATGGACAACAGTGAACTTATCCTGTGGATGACCTTAACCGGGAAAGGGTGGGAGATCATGACCTACATAATCACAGCATTCCTCTACATTTATCTCAAGTACTACATGATCAAAAAGGTAGGTAGAAGCCTGAAACTGTAAATTGCTCACTATGTACATGTATGTCTTGCATCTACCATGATATACTTGTAGGAAGAATTTGTTTTTCACTGTTAAATAACTAAAGTTTCTGTTGATTTTTTTTAAAGCATGTTTATTTCCACTCACGAATTGAACTCTTCCTAATATTTACAGCGTCGACGAGAGCGCAGGCCTAACCTTCGCTACAGTCATATCTCAATCAGTCTCCGTGATGAGGACGAGAACTACGTGCTGCTGTGGCTCGTTCTTTATATCCTTAGAATCTGGGGGACAGCCAGATACGGTATACTTATATACAAAGTCGCGAATGGTGTGGAAATGGTGAACAATTTAAACCACGTGGACATGGTGCTTATGCACATTCAGAGTGTAGGTGATAGTGCCCAGGCCTTTTTTAATTGTCTGTTGTTTTGTGTTAAGGATACTGCAGTCAGACATGGACTCTTAAGGATGCTCTGTCGGAGAGATCAGGACCGACAACTCAATGATTATACCCGGCTATAGCACGTGACAAGGTGCGCCAAAATTTTGAAATTCTCGAACAATTAAAGCTGATTTAATGTTTTCTCTTTGCAATCAAATAAACTAGCTCTAAAAAAAACAGACCTCGGTCTAAGGTTAAAATGAGAATTCATTTAAGATGTACATAACCTGAGTATTATGAATTTATCATGATATAAAGAGAAGATTTATACCTTTTTTACTGTTTCCTATTCCTAAAATATACACTACAGCTACAGGATACAGCAGATTAAACATTATGTGTTTTACTCTGTTTCATTCGTGGAGGAACTAATCCTCAAGAATTCTGTATATTGTAAAATCACATATTTTCGTGGGGTCAAATTTTCGAGGTTTGAGGAAAAAATCTTGGTTTGTGAGGACTTGATTTCGTGGATGGAGAATGTTTAGTATTAATGTGTATCAAATTATATATTTCGTGGTGGTAATAAATTCGTGGGTCTGTCCTTGCCTCGAAAACAACGAAAATTAAACCCCCACGAAAATTAGTGATTTCACAGTAGTTGATATGCTTAGTGTAATTAACTGACTGATAAACAACAATGGTTTTCTTGAGATATTGGAGAGAATGTTCAGTGGAGAAACAGTATTCAAACTCAACGTCATTTTAAACAATACAAAGCGGGAGCAGAGGAAACACGGGCCTCCAAAATTTTGAGAAGTGGGGTGCCTTGGAGGAGTGAGCGTTCCCTGAGAAGTGGGAGGTGCCTTGGAGGAGTGAGCGTTCCCTGACGCCCGGTCACATCCACCATGTGCTTCATGTCATGGTCGAAGAAAATACCCGGAAAAATGCCAATTTAATCTGTAAACTAGAGTTACTATAATAAGCATCACAGACTATACAATTTTACCTACAGAGAACTCGGACGACACTGTGAACATCCAGACAACAATAAGCGCAATAAGCTCACTGAATGAAACCCTCCGCCTCACATATGATGATGATGGGAAAGTCCATTTTTTGGTTTGGGAGACCCAAATGAGTGTCAGATTACAGCTGGAATAAAGAATCTATGAAAGTATCATTAAATTTTGTTCAGTGGTTTAGGAGGGGTTGCGGATAAGGCATGGGTACCCTTCAATTTTATAGAAAATTGGCAGTGTCAATGTTTTTGCTATTTTGCTAATGGCCTAAAAGTATGAAAAACTTTAGTCAGCTTTTGACATAAGGATAGTTTGTACTTGCTGACAAGGTCAATGTGACGACCAAAAACGTATCTTCAAGTGAGTACCAAACCAATCAGAATACTCAAAACATATCTGCAAAGATATATTTCAAGAAGATGCAAAACACAACCGTCAGTTGCTCCAGCAGAATAACCATATATTTTCAAAATAAAGGCAACTGTTTTATAAGCTTTCTTGTTCATTAGTTGAGAAATTATGCGAACTAATTATTTCCTCTATTACTTTGGATTTTCAGTACAGCAATTGATGTCTCAAATTAAAAAATTCTTAAAAGTGAGTAACTACAAAATTATCCTGAGACTCTGCAAGAAGTTGAAAATGTAGTTTCATAGGATGATAGTAACTACCTGCAGCATTTGGAAGAAATTTAGAATAGTTTCCTGCCTGACAAGATTAAAAGGAAACAGTTACTTTTAAGATTTTTTGTCTACTAACCTTACAAATAAAAACATTGGTGTTTTCTCTGATGGATCTATAAGACACGTGACTGGAAATTTTGTCATAGAACCGTTTGCTTGCATGAATGGTTGTATCATTATGTATATCTAGTCAATCATTTACAAATAATGTATATATGTATATAATTTTTGGGGTCCGAGGATGAGGAACCCAGATGCTTGTACTAACAGCTTTTTCTTGAGGTTTTGGATTTCTGATCCTAACTGATGGTAACGGTGACTGAAATTTTTAAAAAAGTGAATCAAAAGAAAGAGTAGGAGAGAGGTATTTTGTTGCAAAAAAGTACTATAAAGTTAAAAAAAAAAACCCATTAAAATGCAGGTTTTTTTTAAATATATTTCAAAATCCTCAAAATATTTTCTGTCAAACAAGTACCGGTATGAAGTCCAGAACGTCTTGATATACCGTATATACTCGCCTATCGGTCCGCCTATAGATAAGATAAGATAAGATAAGATAATTTTATTTCCAATTTTGGGCCCAGAAGGCATAAAGGTCCTATAAGTCGATTGTATTTTTAGAGATAATTTTGGTGGAATTTGCCATTGACCCGCAAATAAGTCGGTATATATATTATATTATTTTAACAGTAACTTGATCCGAAGGGTAGTTTAACGTCGAATTGACATGCGCGGCTTCGCGTCTCGTTTGATCTGATGATCTGCGCCTGTCAACGAGACGTGATACGGCTCTTCGGATCAAGTTACTGTTATAATGATAAAGTTATTATATACCCCCTTATAACTAGCAAATTATAGCAAAATAAAACTTTAGGGATCAGTTGTATAATATTTATTCATAAAACAGAGCATACTAACAAGGGACTTTTTAACGCGCAAGAAAAATAAAGTCATGTTTCTGCGTACTACGTCATCAGTTTCAGAAAGTGGTGATATGGATTCAGAAAACCACAGTGTGGTGATCCGGAAAGTCGGATCACGACGTCACGCGATAGGGTTAAATAAACAGTAAAATTCAGTGATACACATTAGGTATATAATTAAAAAAATTATTTACCAGAATCGATTGACAATTCGAAATCAATGTTCTGATATTTTAAACTGGTTTCAATTCATATTTTTCGAAATGATGCCAAAGTTTAATCTTATATGATTAAAAAAAATAATTAATGCACACTTGAGATATAAATAAATTATGAAAATATGTAAGTGCTCTTACTTTATGTTTAATATTATAATGCATAAAAGATATAACAAGAAATCTGTGAGCCAATGCTCACTAGTAATACCCCCTCTCTGATGTGAATAAACACTATTATGTTAGTATACACAAGTTCAATTACTGGCATTTGCACAGAAAAATATGAAGTTGACATCAAATTCATGTCAAAATTAATCCCTCCATTTGGCATGGCTCAAAATAGGGTATATTAAAATTTCAAGCATCTGCTATGAATAGTTGCCGAGAAAACTGCGTCGAAAACAAAAATGTATCCCACCATATGGCATTCCTCAGGGAAGATTGTGTTAAAATTTCAAGCATCTGCGATGAATAGTTGCTACAAAAACTGCGACGAAAATTTGTTATGTATGAAACGAACAGACGCACAGACAAACAGGTAGTTGACATCGAATTTGAACAAAAATGTATTCCACCGTATTGCATGCCTCAAAAAAGAGTGTATTAAAATGTCCAGCTTCCGCGATGAGTATAGTTGCTGAGAAAACTGCGACGAAAATTTGTTATGTATGAAACGGACAGACGCGCAGACAAACAGGAAGTTGACATCGGATTTGAACAAAAATATATCCCACCCGTATGGCAGGCCTCATAGAAGATTGTGTTAAAATGTCAAGCATCTGCGATGAGTAGTCGCTGAAAATTTGTTACGGACGGACAGACAGAGAGAGACACACAAGGGTAAAACACTATACCCCCACCCCTCCTTCACAGCACGGGTAATATTAAATACCAGTATATACAGACTTTGTTCAGTAATCGTTGGAAATGTTAATAAAATACTAATTTCACTATGTCCAGAAAAAAGTTAAACTTTTTATGGATCGCCTACAAGTTGGATATACAGTTTTGGACCGAAATTTAACCCCCACCTCCAAATACGACTAATAAGCGAGTATATACGGTACACTTCTACTGGAACAGAGTCGCCCGCGTGGCGCAGTGGTTAGAGCGTCTGCTCTAGAGTCGCGAAGTAAGGAGCTGATCCTTACGTCGCGGGTTCGAATCCAACTGTGGGACGTGGAGACCGGTCCTTCGGATGATACCGTATAAACCGAGGTCCCGTGTCGCAGTAGGTGCTGGCACAATAAAGATCCCTCCCTGCTCAATGGCCCTGAGTGCCGAGTATAGGACAAAATTTGCAGTTCTCCACCGGCAAGTGGTGGCGTCTCCATGTGAGTGATAAAAATTCTCGAGAGGGACGTTAAACAACATATAATAAAGCAATCAATCTACTGGAACAGGTATATTTAAAAAAACAACAACAGAAAAATGGCATATGGAATTGTAGCATCGTCTGTTAAGCATTTTTTGATTTCCGATTATAAGGTACCACCACTGAGATATTAGGCTTCTAAAAATAGGTCAAAAACATAGTCATAGCATTTCACCCAGCAATACAGACAAATCAAGCATATGACTTTGTAATCAAAATGACAATATAAAGCATTTTTTATTTAGAATAAAAATTTCAGGTATATGAAAATCAAGCATTGCGCACACGTCAAACATTATAATGCCTCTTATTAAACCTATGTAGCAGTAAAGTGATTTAATAAAAAATGTACTTAAAGATCTACAAAGATAAAATAGGGCCTATTACATAGGTATGTTAAATATAAGTTTTCTGCAAATGAATTTTACAGACACATGACAAGGTTAGTGATTAAAATATATGTTGAACATACTTCATATTTATAATGATCATTCTATACGCTAGTTTAGCTGTTACCCGTGTTAACTGAATAATAAAAATGAAAGTGAACCACTAAATGCAATATTAGAAAAATACAATTGTGGAACAACTAGTACATTTTAATCGTATCAAAGAATCCTCTCATGTTACGATCAACTGCTAGTAAAGACTATACAATATCTTTGTTTCTAGCTTAATAATAATAATCTCTCAGCATTTTTTTTTATTTTTAGGTTTACGAACATCAGAATGAAAAAGTCCCGTAGGAGGAGGAAATAAAACAAAAAAAAATTATACTTTGGATACATTATCGACTTTTCTACATTAATTTTTGCTTCTTTTTTATGCTCTCCTAACAGGCTTCTTGCCACTGGACACAAAGGGGTTACAAAGGGGAAAATACAACCTTTAATTGTTTATTTCATCATCTACCAGTTGGGGGCAATGATATAAATCTTTTGATGTTGGACAAAATACAGATTTTAAAAAAAAATCATTTTTTTTAAAGCTCTTTTAATATATCTTCATTTTTGTTTTTAATGTGTGTTAGTTAGAAATTATTCTAAAATATTAATATACTCGAGACCTATAAAAGTAATAATTCCTTTCATAAAACAGACAGGGAGTATTCCCA